CGAATATCCCTCTGTTATGTGTGTGTGTGCCTGTGTGTATAGGCAACTAATGGAAATTCTGCACAGTTCACTCCCGATTTTATTGATATGGGTGTCCGCAACGAGAAAATTATTGCTTCCATGCACAAAGCCGATGAACGCACATAAATCCCATCGAAGATTTGTCTCTTCTGTAACACACTATGAAGCACTAATGAAACCGAAGCGACGGCTTAATGGCCCTCAGGAGGGACCAAATTTATTAGCGTAACTTCATCACTATTAATAAGAACCACGCAATTTGGCTCAGATTTTATAGCAAATTTAAAGTATCCATAACAGTCAATTTAATATTTATTGGAATATGATGCAATTCACAGAAATTCTATGATCATCTATAAATAATTCATTCATTAATTATATTGCAAACATAAATATTCAAATTTTATAATAAAAGCAGCATGTAATAAAAAATAACTATTGAAAAATTAGTTGAATGTACAGATATTACAGTTGAGTAATAGTAGTAAAGTTTCTGATGCGTGAAACTCGATATTGCATTGAAATACTCTGTGTATCGGAGGCTGTGCGAATGTTGTCTGCATCGGAATATTTTCGGAATGGTGATGAGGTCCATGAATTTTGGGATCCACTCGAAATGCATCGAACTTAAATTAAACTGCGAAACTCTCGGTGGCGAGTGGTTAGATAAGTGCTGGGCAAATAGGCTGGCTCTGTCAGTTGTCAGAGGCGTCGGCGTCGCATTCGGAATTAGCAAATATATCGAGATTTGAATAAACATGCGGGGAACGAACATCCAGATCCATCCGAGCGCCCCTCGAGCCGCCACCCCCAAAACTGTATGGATCGAAGAGAGAAAGTGATAGATAGAGATGGTACAGGAATAGGAGGAGGAGAGGATAATACAAATCCATTGTGACTTTCCATTGCATTAGCCGCAACACCCTATAAATTATAGTAAATCGGCCGTTCCAGACTGTCGGCGATGCGGGCCCAAATGAATTAACATTAATACAAGAATATAAATCTGATGTACCGTGATGAGCCAAAATGGATCATCGTCTCATATTCTTTTAGCTACACTTAAATTTCTCCTTTTTCATCGCTCAATGTCTCACAGTTGGACATTCTCAAAATTTCTGCTCCATAAGCTTTTTTAAATGAGTGTTTTTATTTTGTTACAGCTTCGATATTTCCATCTCCTGGATCATACTGGAGCAATCCGAGCGCGAATCTGTACTCGAACATAGCGGCAAGTACACACTCGATAGGCCATCACGCGGCCCCCCATTTGGGAGCGCCCCCCTTGGGGTCGTACCCCCATTACGCCTGACCTGCCCCGTCGTCGTCGCCAACTGCAGACTGGACCCGAAGGATCCCCATGTAAAATGTAACGAATCCTCGGCGAACAGCGTTAAAAGAAAATAATTTACGAGAGAACAGAAAGAAAAAAAAAAGTTTCGCGTGCGGCGACAGAGCGCCCCCCCTTCCTCATCATTTCGTAATACATTTACGTTAAAACTCTTATTTTCGGTTTGTTCCCTTGTTGTTCCCGTTAATTTTACGTTCTAGAATAGCGTGATGTCTATAAATGTATATAAGAAATGATTATATAACCGTACCTAATTTGCCAACAGTTATCACAAAAGGAAAAAAAAGGAAACATTCCCCCCTAAACAAATTTTTACTTTTATTGCCGTAAGTCAAGTTTTGTCAAAGTTCTTCTAGTCATTATTTATTCGTTGTTGTATATTTTATTTATTGGCAAAGTATGATAAACCAGATGAATGGAAAGTAAAAAAAATAATAATATTAATAAGTTAAGGAGAAATCATGTAACAAATTCATTCCGTACAAGTGCAATCCCCCATTAATAAAAATAACAATATAATACATTGAAGGTAAATAATTAAATAAAGTAATGAAGTATTTGTATAGGAAAATATTAAAAAAAAATAAAATATGTAAAGATTAATAATAATAACAACACAAACCGCAATGGTGGCCTGTGATACGAATAATTTATTATTTTCAAATTACTAAACGATGTAAAAGTGAGGAAAGTAAAATAATAATAATAATAAATATTATATATGTAAATTGGAGAGGAACGTAATTTAATCGTATATAAATATATATTATTAATAATTTATTAACTGTAAAAATAACTCTATATTAATATAAATATATAGATTGTTGTATGCTTGATTAGTTGGTACTAATGAACTATATAGTATGTAGAAACTGTATCTATATACTTGGCGAATGCGATTTTTTTTTTGTTATGAATGAATCTGGTGTGTAAGAGAAAGGTGAAGAAATATATCATAGATACTACTAGTCATGTAATAAATGTAATTGAAACAAAAAAATAATAATAATATAATATATGAAAATAAAATTTAAAACGACGTGTAAGATTTAGGCCATTTTTTTGTTATATTCGGCCTGATAACTGGCGACATACAAATGTAATACAACAACCAACAAAAAAAATATAAATGTTATGTATTTATTATATAAAAAAAAACTAGATTGAACAAAAGCTTATTATTACAACACCCAAGTTTTTTATTCCATATTTCAGCTTTTATAATGTAGACAATTTATATAATATGGTAAGTATATAATTACTACTTAATTCATTAAATACACATTAAGTTAATTTTGTCAATAAATGTATTTAAATTTACGTACATTGTTTATGATTGACAATTTTGATCTTTCAAATTTGACAGCGAATGTCAATGTCACATGTCAAATTAGACTGCAAGCACCGAAAGGACTCACAAAGGGCCTGGTTTGACCAGGATTTGAATCTGTGACCACTGGCACGTCGGTAGGACAATTTAACCTTTTGGCTATTAGTCGCCAGGTAATAAAAATTAGTATTTATTAAATAATCAAAGCTTTAGTTTTCAATTTTAAATAAAAAAAAAATATTTCTATTTTTTTAATTCTAAAAATTTAGATCTAAATTGTTATTAACTCTATAGTATATTTGTCTATATCTAAGAAAAAAACATGAATTTTGTTATTTATAATTCTAACTACAATTTTACATAACAAGAAATAGCGGAACTTGTTTAAATTCTTCATAGTTTCAGTTTCAGTTTGCAAAAAAAAAGTCCCATTTGATAATTCGTAATAATCAATAAATGTATTTAAATTTACGTAAGTATATAAGTACTATTTTATTCATTAAATACACATTAAGTTAATTTTGTCAATAAATGTATTTAAATTTTCGTACATTGTTTATGATTGACAATTTTGATCTTTCAAATTTGACAGCAAATGTCAATGTCACATGTCAACGACAAATTTTACTATACTTTTAAATCTAATGTTTCCTATACATAATTTTGATATTTTTAAGAACATTTTTTATTCTAAAAATTAATAATAATTGATATAAAGTCAAATTGATATAAAGTCAAAATTAAACAACAAACAAATATATAGGAATTTATAGTTTTAGCTTAATAATTTATGTACTCAATTATTGAATTAAATGTTTGAACTTATAATATTTCTTGTCTTCACAGTTTTGAGTTTAGTTATCTGAATTATGTAAATCTCTGTACACAACAAATATAGTTTCGATTAAAAACAAATACTAGGTGGGTCACTCTGACCCATCCTTAGTACTTAAGGGTTAATACTAACTACTATTTTAAATAAATTCTAAATTGTATTAAATCGATTAAGAACTTTTTTTTTGTATTTTTGTTGAGAGATGTATAATTCTACAAAATTATACTGTAAAATACATGAAGGGGGCGATGAGGGTGAAGAAAGAGGCTGACTTCAATACATTATTACATCATTATGTGGCGCGTGGCAGTCGACAGGCATATGTTTAACGCACGATTGCGCCCAAACACTATGTCTTCGGGGTGCTTTCACTCTCTCCGACCCTCGTAGATTCACTCGCGATGGCCACTCTTTCGACTATATAAACTTATTGCCCACTGGACCAAAAGCCGCTTCGCCAGGGCGGAACGCATAACATCGATACCATGCGAATCCTCCTCCCCCACCCCACCCACATGCGATTCCTCCTTCAAACCCAAAAAGAAGAAGAAGAAAAAAACAACAGAACGTAGAAGAAAACAAGGGAACGACGCAATAATAAAATTTCGAGAAAAAAAAACGAAACGGAAACGACGCCCATTCGAATATATATATATATAATATTTCAGAGAGGAGACAAGGAATTTAATGGAAACTTAGTTTTCTACGTTTCACGATCTATCATATAAATGTTATAGTTATTAATCAATATTTAGTAAATCAAATGAAAATATAATAGTTTAATTGGTTTTCTACCTTACAAAAAGATTTCCATACAAATTATTACATTTTTCAATTTTGAAAGCTTACAACAAGAAATTAGTACTAAGCACAAACCTGATAGTATGCCCATTGGAAATACCATAGTTTTTTCTTTAATTTTCATATTTAATCATCTAATTGGCGTAAGTAAATGTTGAGTAATTAAATAAAACGAGAAGAATGTTTTTTGTTTTGTGATTTCAAAGCAATTATTTAATATTTATTCAATCAAATGAAATTATAAAGCTTTTATTGGTTTTCTTCCTTACAAAAAGATTATCCATTTACATAATTGAATCTCAACATACAAATTATTACATTTTTAAATTTTGAAAGCTTAGAACAAGAAATTAGTACAAAGCACAAATCTGATAGTATGCCCATTGGAAATATCATAGTTTTTTCTTAAATTTTCATATTTAATCATCTAGTTGGCGTACGTGAATGTCGAGTAATTAAATAAAACGAGAAGAATGTTTTTTGTTTTGTGATTTCAAAGCAATTATTTAATATTTATTCAATCAAATGAAATTATAAAGCTTTTATTGGTTTTCTTCCTTACAAAAAGATTATGCATTTACATAATTGAATCTCAACATACAAATTATTACATTTTTTCAATTTTAAAAGCTTACAACAAGAAATTAGTAGTAAGCACAAATCTGATAGTATGCTCATTGGAAATACCATAGTTTTTTCTTTAATTTTCATATTTAATCATCTAGTTGGCGTATGTAAATGTTGAGTAATTAAATAAAACGAGAAGAATGTTTTTTGTTTTGTGATTTGAAAGCAATTATTTAATATTTATTCAATCAAATGAAATTATAAAGGTTTAATTGGTTTTCTTCCTTACAAAAAGATTATGCATTTACATAATTGAATCTCAACATACAAATTATTACATTTTTTCAATTTTGAAAGCTTACAACAAGAAATTAGTAGTAAGCAAAAATCTGATAGTATGCCAATTGGAAATACCATAGTTTTTTCTTTAATTATCATATTTAATCATCTAGTTGGCGTACGTGAATGTCGAGTAATTAAATAAAACGAGAAGAATGTTTTTGTTTGGTTATTTGAAAGCAATTATTATAAATCAAATTAAATTATAAGGTTTTATTGGTTTTCTTCCGTACAAAAAGATTATGCATTTACATAATTGAATCTCAACATACAAATTATTACATTTTTCAATTTTGAAAGCTTACAACAAGAAATATGTAGTAAGCACAAATCTGATAGTATGCTCATTGGAAATACCATAGTTTTTTCTTTAATTTTCATATTTAATCATCTAGTTGGGGTACGTGAATGTCGAGTAATTAAATAAAACGAGAAGAATGTTTTTTGTTTTGTGATTTCAAAGCAATTATTTAATATTTATTCAATCAAATGAAATTATAAAGCTTTTATTGATTTTCTTCCTTACAAAAAGATTATGCATTTACATAATTGAATCTCAACATACAAATTATTACATTTTTTCAATTTTAAAAGCTTACAACAAGAAATTAGTACTAAGCACAAATCTGATAGTATGCCCATTGGAAATACCATAGTTTTTTCTTTAATTTTCATATTTAATCATCTAATTGACGTAAGTAAATGTTGAGTAATTAAATAAAACGAGAAGAATGTTTTTGTTTGGTTATTTGAAAGCAATTATTATAAATCAAATTAAATTATAAGGTTTTATTGGTTTTCTTCCTTACAAAAAGATTATGCATTTACATAATTGAATCTCAACATATAAATTATTACATTTTTTCAATTTTAAAAGCTTACAACAAAAAATTAGTATTAAGCACAAATCTGTTTGTATGCTCATTGGAAATATCATAGCTTTTTCTTTAATTTTCATATTTAATCATCTAGTTGGCAAACGTGAATGTCGAGTAATTAAATAAAACGAGAATAATGTTTTTTGTTTTGTGATTTCAAAGCAATTATTTAATATTTATTCAATCAAATGAAATTATAAAGCTTTTATTGGTTTTCTTCCTTACAAAAAGATTATCCATTTACATAATTGAATCTCAACAAACAAATTATTACATTTTTCAATTTTGAAAGCTTACAACAAGAAATTAGTAGTAAGCACAAATCTGATAGTATGCTCATTGGAAATATCATAGTTTTTTCTTTAATTTTCATATTTAATCATCTAGTTGGCGTATGTAAATATTGAGTAATTAAATAAAACGAAAACAATATTTTTTGTTTTGTGATTTGAAAGCAATTATTTAATATTTATTCAATCAAATGAAATTATAAAGGTTTTATTGGTTTTCTTCCTTACAAAAAGATTATCCATTTACATAATTGAATCTCAACATACAAATTATTACATTTTTTCAATTTTAAAAGCTTACAACAAGAAATTAGTACTAAGCACAAATCCGATAGTACGCCCATTGGAAATACCATAGTTTTTCTTTAATTTTCATATTTAATCATCTAGTTGGTGTATGTAAATGTTGAGTAATTAAATAAAATGAGAAGAATGTTTTTTGTTTTGTGATTTGAAAGCAATTATTTAATATTTAT